CTGCTCTTAGGGTGCGTGGGAGGTGGGGGGGGGGTACTAAAATGACTAGCAATCTCCTGAAGAATCAGGTAACGGGGCTGGCCGCCCCGTTTACTTCGTAAAGTAAAACTCAAGGTAGCCCCTCTGGAGCTACCTTTCGTGATATGAGAAAATGCCTAAACTGCATAAACCATGTGAATGACTATCGAAAACATTCGAAAACAACGATTGTCTCTTGTACACCAAAATTCAGTGAACATGTTGATCTGGTGTGGGGAAAACATGGGAAAACAAGGTTTGAACTCAATCCGTATTAATTTTGGACATAGAAACCTCGGGTTTGCGCCAAAAGCATCCGAAATCTCGGATTTTCCAAATCCATACTGAACCCAATCCATATGTTCAGCATACCCACCAATCATTTCTTTAATGGTTCAACTGTTCAACCGTCCTTTAATGCGAACCAATTCTTGCAAACCCAAATTTGCAAGCTCTTCTCGGCGTTTTTGACACAACGGGTTGCAAGACCAAAGTCAAACCCTAGGAAACTTTGGTTTCCGTCAGAAAGCTAGAGTTTCCGGTGAGCACTTGTGAGGCTTAGCAATTGGTAATTGGTCGGTCAAAGTCTGCGTGCGCGTGAGTGTGTGTGTGTGTGTGCGAACGGGGTAGACAAATGATGACAGATGATTCGAATAGCTAAGAATAGATCAAAGGATAGATAGGTTGAGAGTAAAAAAACATGTAAAATTGGACTAGATTGAATCAATGGAATTAAATTGGATTAGATTAGATTAGTTTGGGTTAGACTGGAGTGAGATTGATAAATGAAAATGACTAGACAAAAAAAAACATTAGATTAAATCATATTAGGTAAGATCAGATTTGATGTAGATTAGAAGATTGGATTAGACTAGACTAGATTAGATTAGATTAGATTTAGATTAATTATATAGATTAAATTGGATTAGAAAGCTGAATGGATAGGTAGGTAGGTAGGTAGGTAGAAAATGATAGATATAGATAGATGAAATCAAATAAGATCAGATGCGATCAGATGAGACATAATCAAAGCAGAGAAGTAACATAGGGATACAAAGGGCCAAGCGAGAAAAAAACGTAAGAACGATAAGATAGATAGATAGATAGATAGCTAGCTAGCTAGCTAGCTAGATAGATAGATAGATAGATGATAGAGAGAGAGAGAGATGGGATGGGATGGGATGGGATGGATGGGATAGATAGGACAGATAGGATAGATAGGATAGATAGGATAGATAGGATAGATAGGATAGGATAGGATAAGATAGGATAGATGGGATGGGATAGATAGGATAGATAAGATAGATAGGATAGATAGGATAGATAGGATAGGATAGAATAGGATAAGATAGGATAAGATAGGATAAGATAGGATAGATGGGATGGAATAGATAGGATAGATAGGATAGACAGGATAGGATAGGATAGAATAGGATAAGATAGGATAAGATAGGATAAGATAGGATAGATGGGATGGAATAGATAGGATAGATAGGATAGACAGGATAGGATAGGATAGGATACATAGGATAGATAGGATAGAATAGGATAGATAGGATAAGATAGGAAAAGATAGGATAGATATGATATATAGGATAGATAGGGTAGATAGGGTAGATAGGGTAGATAGGAAAGATAGGGTAGATAGGATAGATAGGATAGATAGGATAGATAGGATAGATAGGATAGACAGATAGGATATATAGATAGGATAGATAGGATAGATAGATAGACAGACAGACAGATAGGAAAACCAGCAGTCTAAACCATCACACATCAGCAGATCCTGATGAAGTGGATTCCAGGGGCCTTGAAACCGATGTGTCCATGCAAGTTTCTGAATGATTTGGACTGGACTGTCCTCAAGTTCCTGTAGCGCCTTAGTCACTTGCTGGGCTTCGCAGCCACCTTGTCGGAATCTTGTTCGCAGGGCATCGCGGGCCCCGGCGGATGTGAAATTTCCTTGCAACTTGGGACTGCTCAAAGCAAAATGCTTTAGCAAATCAAGGCCTTCCAGCCGGAGAGGCTTCCTCTCCGTTTCTGACTTAGCAAGCTGCTTGGCCAGTCCCGGCATCGATTTGTCTTTTTCCCGAGAGCGTCTGAGCGCAGGGTTCTTCCAATAGTGGGGGTCTGCAAAACATCTTCTCATCTTCACATCTTCTCTCACATCTGCTCATCTTCACATCTTCTCTGACATCTTCTCTCACATCTGCTCATCTTCACATCTGCTCATCTTCACATCTTCTCTCACATCTGCTCATCTTCACATCTTCTCTCACATCTTCTCTCACATCTGCTCATCTTCACATCTGCTCACCTTCACATCTTCTCTCACATCTTCTCTCACATCTGCTCATCTTCACATCTGCTCATCTTCCCATCTTCTCTCACATCTGCTCATCTTCACATCTTCTCTCACATCTTCTCTCACATCTGCTCATCTTCACATCTGCTCATCTTCGCATCTTCTCTCACATCTGCTCATCTTCACATCTTCACATCTTCTCTCACATCTGCTCATCTTCACATCTTCTCTCACATCTTCTCTCACATCTGCTCATCTTCACATCTTCTCTCACATATTCTCTCACATCTGCTCATCTTCACATCTGCTCATCTTCACATCTTCTCTCACATCTTCTCTCACATCTGCTCATCTTCACATCTTCTCTCACATCTTCTCTCACATCTTCTCTCACATCTGCTCATCTTCACATCTGCTCATGTCCACATCTTCTCTCACATCTGCTCATCTTCACATCTTCTCTCCTTTCTCTCTCCCTTTTCTCTCTCTCGCCTTCTTTATCTTTCTCTCTTAAGGCCGAGGGTGGTGCCGGCGGCGAGTCACGAAACGTCAACCTTTTCGCACGAAATGAGGGTCGATCGTCAAAAACTGAGGAAAAATTGCGATTTTACTTGTCCCCGAGCAACCCTTTCGCACGAAATGAGGGTCGATCGTCAAAAACTGAGGAAAAATTGCGATTTTACTTGTCCCCGAGCAACCCTTTCGCACGAAATGAGGGTCGATCGGCAAAAACTGAGGAAAAATTGCGATTTTACTTGTGCCGGACTTGTCTGTGTGTAAAAGCGTCTGTGTGTAAGAGTCTCTGTGTGTAAAAGTGTTTGTGTGTAAAAGTGTTAGTGTGTAAAAGTGTTAGTGTGTAAAAGCTTCTGTGTGTAAAAGCTTCTGTGTGTAAAAGCGTCTGTGTGTAAAAGTGTTTGTGTGTAAAAGTGTTTGTGTGTAAAAGTCTCTGTGTGTAAAAGCGTCTGTGTGTAAAAGCTTCTGTGTGTAAAAGCGTCTGTGTGTAAAAGTGTTTGTGTGTAAAAGTGTTTGCGTGTAAAAGCCTCTGTGTGTAAAAGCGTCTGTGTGAAAAAGCCTCTGTGTGTAAAAGCGTCTGTGTGTAAAAGCGTCTGTGTGTAAAGTAAAAGCGTCTGTGTGTAAAAGCGTCTGTGTGTAAAAGACTGTGTGCACAAGCGTCTGTGTGCAAAAGCGTCTGTGTGTCAAAGCGTCTGTGTGTAAAAGCGTCTGTGTGTAAAAGCGTCTGTGTGCAAAAGTGTTTGTGTGTAAAAGTGTTTGTGTGTAAAAGCCTCTGTGTGTAAAAGCGTCTGTGTGTAAAAGCGTCTGTGTGTAAAAGCGTCTGTGTGTAAAAGCGTCTGTGTGTCAAGTAAAAGCGTCTGTGTGTAAAAGCGTCTGTGTGTAAAAGTGTCTGTGTGTAAAAGCATCTGTGTAAAAGCGTATGTGTGTAAAAACTTCTGTCTGTAAAAGCGTCTGTGTGTGTAAAAGCTTTGTGTGTAAAAGTGTCTGTGTAAAAGCGTCTGTGTGTAAAAGCTTCTGTGTGTAAAAGCTTTTGTGTGTACAAGCGTCTGCGCGTAAAAGGGTCTGTGTGTGAAAGTGTCTGTCTGTAAAAGCTTCTGTGTGTGAAAGCTTTTGTGTGTACAAGCGTCTGTGCGTAAAAGTGTCTGTGTGTGTTTGCGATGCAAACTATTGTGTTGCACTTCTGCTATTTTGTCTTAATACTCCTCTTCTCGACTGCCTATATGACATCTTTAATATATATATATTGTTTCTAATATGGTGTCTCCATACTAACAAGAGAAGACCTGCTCCTCTACGCTCTCGGGCCATCCGTCGTCTAGTTCTTCCTCGGGGTGCTGCAAGGGCATGGTCGTGGGTCATGATCTTGTATGTGTGTGTCTTGTAGGCCTTCAGCCAATCTTAATTGTATGTGTTCGTTCATTAGCATTTTCTGCCTAGTTTCTGCTACCTTTTCCTCTGATTTGAGCATGAACAAGTAGTAGCCGCAGTGGAGCGAAATTTGGCGGAGCCACACATGCACTGCGCACATCATTTCCCAGGCGTTGATTTCACAGCGGTGCCACGTCTGGACCGACTTGTGAACCGCGGACAAACTCTCGATGTAGGCCTGAGCGAAGCAATGGTCCGTTTTTTCCATGAAATACTTATAGAGATTGAAATTGACAAAGTGCTTTGTCTAAAGTTAAAGGAGAAACGTTTCTGTCGCCCGAGCGGTTTCATTGGTAGAATTTTTTCTGCGTGCAGTCAGTGTGTCCGGGAGCTATGGTTTTAATGTCTGCTTGCTGCTGAAGCTCTTGTCGCATGATTGCAAATGCAAAGCGGGTAATGTCGGTTCCGTAGAATTGGATTTTGGTGAGAAAATAGCGGTTGATGATTTCACCGATTTCACCATGTTCGATTTTGCTGTCACACCAGTTTCTGATGGCTTTACCAACTGTCCGGAGAATTGCCAAAGCAAACCCATCTGGGCAAACATGAAGGCAATGCTGGAAAGGCCCTCGCAACTGGAAATCATGGCAGCCTTGCAAGACGCCGGCACTTATGCTGATCTCACGGTCCTCATTGATCGTGTTGGTTGGGGGGCTGATGGCGAAGGACAGCCTCTTCTGCCAGCCATTGACTGTGGGTCCTTGGTTTATCCGGGCATTCTGATCCAGGAAGGGGCAATGAAGGCAATCAAAGCCTCAAGAAATTTGAAAGCAAAATTGAGGCTGCAACTGGCCACCCATTCCAGCACTTCTATCTGTCCAAATGCTTTCAGCTGCATGGCATAGTCAATCAAATGCTCTCCGCCGCTTCCGGTTAACACTGAATCCGGCTCACACTGGGTAAAGGTGTTCATCTTTGCTCGGGATAGAAAGTGAACTCCGGAGGCCATGTCACTCCACGGAGTGGCCATCATACAGGCAAGCTCGTCTCCCGTGGCAGAGACTCTGCCATATTTCTTGATGGAACCTCTGATGCCTTTGAGTGTAGCTTCTGTCAAAAAGACTTCTTTGAGCCATTCCGGTGCCCATCGAGATCCTGTCACGAGTTCTTTCGTGTACCGGCTCAAAGATGATTTTCGTGAGGATGCTTCTCCTCCAAACAGAACGGGAATGTTCGGAGAGAACAAAAATACCTTGTCAACTTGCTCCACAATGAGCACCTGAACAGGGGAGTCTTTATGGCACAGGTTCTCTATAGAGGGAGACAGGAAACCAATATGCCAATATCATTATTATTTAAAGGTTCGACCCTGGTTCTTGGAGTTATTAAAGGTGTGCTTGTTGTTTTTCATCATGCGGGAAATATAGACTTGGAAAGATTCGAAAACTTTGGATGAGCCTGCGCCAGCGTTGCATCCTCAGTAGCATGTGGCGCAGAAACTGGGCTGCCCACTGTCTGGGAAGATGGATGCTCTCTTGGATTCTCGGGGTCTGGTGCTTGAGAAGCTTGAGGTTGTGTTCCCATGCCCATGAGCCTCTCTTCGATCAACTGCTTCACGCAATTCTTGGCTTCATGCAAAGCATCTTTCTCCATGTCAAGCTCATGTTCAATTTGGTTGCGCAACTCGCGAAAGGTGAGGCTCTCAAGTTGGCCAGAAGCGTCCGCCCGTGCAACCACTGCATCTAAGGCTTGTATGACATCGGGGGTAACTAGATGATGCAACACCTGTGCCTCTGCTTGGCTGACATTTTGAGTGTCTCTTGGCACAGTGGCGATGATGCTCGTGCACTGCGTGGCAATGATGCTCGCGCACGCTTGCCTTTTTTGGACTTCGGTGGAGATGCGAGCTCGGGCAGCTCGGGTGGATCAGACTCCAAGAACGTCTTGCCATCAGGCCGCGGCTCTGGGCTCAATCGTGTTGCCTGGTGCTCCAGCCACATCAGGTTGGACCTGGGCAAACTCTTCACATGAATCAGTCAACTTGTTCTTTTGTTTTTTGCTGTCATGGCGTGTGCAAACCTATTGACTTACATCCTCGGCGCTACGGAGCGCATTTGTCTTTCGCCATGGCGTTGCTGGCCAATGCCCCTGCCTGGACACAGTAGCGGCACAGTTTTCTGTACTGCACGTCTCCCGTGCTTTCATGTTCCTCTACCTCATATGGTGTAGGATCAGCCAGTGCTTTCACTTGCTCCGGTCTTGCATTTTTTCTACTTCTATCTAGTCCAGCGGGACCTTCGGGCTCACCAAAACATATCATGAAATGGTATGGCTGAAACATGTTAAGGTTCATGACGCAGAGCATCATGGACTCCGCATGCCACCCGTTTTTCTCTGAGACGGCCTGCGCTACAGGGTCAGGGATTCAAAAAAATGTAAAAGGCATCCAAGAAAAAAGACAGTGGGGATCGGGCTCACAAACATTTAAGGCAGCAAAATTTTGGAAATTAAATTGATCTTGAAATGGTAAAAAAAAATAAAAGTTGCAATTTATTAAAAGGGTTCGCCTCGACATTTATTTTTTGGCAAAAAAGTTAATTGCGTAATATAAGGAAATTGATTTGATTCTGAAATCAAAACATTTTTAATGAAGGGTTTCAATGTATTAAAAGGGTCTGCTTCGATATCCATTTTTCGGCAATAATTTAAATGCGTTTTAGAAGGAAATTGAATTGATTGTGAAAACGAAACAACTAGTGGTTTTAAGGGTTTCAATTTACTAATAGGGCCTGCTCGATTTTTTTTGGCAAGATGTTGATTAACGTTATATGAGGAAATTGAATTGATTTTGAAATTGAAACATTTGTTTGTATTAAGGGTTTCAATTTATTAAGAGGGCCCGCTTCGAAATGCAATTTTTGGAAAAGTTTTAATCGCGTTATATAAGGAAATCGAATTGAGTGTGATAGCGATTTATTTTATGATTAAGGGTTTCAATTTTTTATTAGGGCTCCCTAATAATAAAGTCAACTTGTGCTTGCGTGGTGATTTGGGTTGGTGGCTTGGAAGTCTGGGAATTGATGGTTTTGTGAACTTAGACAAAATAAAAAAACAAACAAACCCTGTAAACAATGAAATTGTTGAAAATATTTGAAAATAAAGAAAACAAATTTAAAACAACAACGATTGCTACCAGATTAGGTTTGCTTTTGAATTGATGTGCATCTTGTATCTCGGAAAATATATTTTATTTAATGTCCAATAATTCCAAGTGATTGTTTACTTGATGATTGAATTCTAGTTCATTTTTCTGTAATTGTCTATTTATTTTTGAAACGGGGGGAAAAGACAGTTTCTTGAAACCGTGTGGTCCTATCCTGTGCTCTGACTGATGCAGGTTTCATGGAGTTTCCATGCAGTTTCCATGCAGGTTTCATGTTGGTTACATGCTGGGTTTGCTGATTTAGGTTACTGGTGTGTAACCTCCATGACAACTCCCTGGAACCTGCATGGAACCTGCATGGAACCTCCATGAAACCTTCATGGAACCTGCATCAGCCAGAGTGCAAGATAAAACCAACAAGTGGAGGTGGTGCCTCTATCTGCACTTGTTGGTTTTATCATGCACTCTGACTGATGCAGGTTCCGTGGAGGTTCCACGACAAATTCCTTTTTCAATCTATTTCGCACATAACTCTGATTTCCCAGACTTCCAAACCACCAACCCAAACCGCCATATAAGTATAACATGATAAAGACCCCCCTAAAAATAAAAACTACCTGAGGTGTCTATTTATTATTTGCGTGGGAAGGATTATCTTTTTGTTGATGCCTTTAAATATTTATTTTTGGGTGCCTTATTATTCTTTTGATCCCCATGCCTGCACTGCAGACAGCATTTGCTTCGGCATGAGCAACCTCAGAGTGAAGTTTGGGCACAGCGACATGTCTCTGTGCGACTGGTCTCCGTCGACCAGTTGGTCGAGTTTGTTCTGGATTGCTTTGTAGATTTCATCCTCTGTTTGCATCTTGTCGTTCAAGTCGGTAGGCCACATAGCACTGTGCAGCTCTTCTGCTGTCTGTGCGTTTTGTGCTTCCTTGATTCTGTCAACTGTTGGGTCTGGGTCCAAATCGCATTTCCTGCGTCGAGCAGTCTTCAAATTGAAGCCACCTGTGCAGCAATGATTTGTGAGCTCGAATTCGAAGCTACTAACCCTGCGTCCCCAATTTGATTTCGTTTGTTAATTCGTATCGCTGTGCTGCATGGACCGATTTCTAGCTACTAGACTTGCAGGTTTGTGTAAGCCTTAAGGCATTTGTCTTTTTCGATATTCCTTCGTTTTAAATCGTGAAACCGTGAGCGACATTATTTGTTTTAAGAAAGCGCATGCTCTTTGCTTGCTCATATTTGAATATTTTGATTTTTTCCTAGCAACAAAAAACTTATTACCTGCTGTTGTTCTTGGCATTTGGCCACGCACAACAGAGAGACTATATGTGGAAACAATGCAGTCACGGAAGCAGTTGACCCCGCCTGTGCGCAACACAGTTTGGCTGCTACTGGAAGCCATAGCTAAGGGGCTATCTCAGACTTGAACTAACCGTGCTACTTTAAGCAACTCACACAGCAACGTTTTTTCCTGAGGAGCCAGAGAGGAAAATAAAGTCAAGAATCATTTTGTGTCATTATTGTGCAAAGTGTACAACACACGTGCATTAGGTTTCCCGTGCGCATGCACTGCTACCGGCGCATGGCTGATGGCTGCAGCGTAAGGCTCATTTGGTCATGCCCTGGCGGAGAATTGGTCGCAATGCCTGGGAGGCTTCGTGCTTCAACAGACTGTGTCTGCCTCAGGGGGGTTGAAAGGCGTCCTCAAGCTGTTCGCTGCAGGCGTGGTCCAGCAAGGCAAATTTCTCAGGGCAAACTTTCATGATAAGGACCCGCCGTATCACCAGCTTTCCATCAACCATCCTCAGCTGAATTTGCATGAGAATCATTGACAGACACTGGCCGCCACTCACATCCAACAAACAATAAAAACGCGGCTCAAAATTTTCACTAAGTATGGATTATCAACCAAATATCCCTTCCAAGTTTTCCTCCTGGAAGTTGGATTCGCAATGCTTTGTTTTTGCGTTGTCGGCTGTCCAGGCGATGCTGCTACATTCGAGGTTGAAACCTGTCCCGTAGATGATGGACGTGTGCTGGGAGTGCTCTAAACCGTCCGTCACGAATTGGTCCTTGAAAATGGCTTTAGCGGCCATCTCTTCCGCTCGAATGAAAGCAGCCTGGAAGAGGATCCTAGCACACAAAGCAGATTGATGGCTTGAAAAGAACAAAGCTGACACCTGATGCACTGACATCTCCCAAATCAAAGCACAATCATTGAGACTAGGGTCCCGTGTTGCTTCTCAGTAGACGACGACTTTCCGAGCATCAGCACCACCGGGCCAACCTCCGGCAGTGTGGCCCGCTGGAGGGACCCATAGGTGAGGATCAGGCTGTCTGGCAAGGTCATCAAAGGAAACAGAACTGCGAGGGAATCTTTGGGCAAAGATTCTTTGGACTGTACCTGAAATTCACCCGTGGCCAAGGTCTGGCATTGACTTAAGCTCAGGCCAGTCGGCTCACCTTGTGTCTCACAGGCAAGACGAGCCATCTGTAAAGCACGGGCGCTCGCAAGAACAAACAGCAGCTGGGCAAAAAGAGGATTGAACACAGATTGGCCACTGGCAAATGGTTCAGGAATCTTTCTGCGGAATAAGCACAAAGGAACAACTTTGCAAAAGTTGAACAAAAATTGGGCAACCATTGAATTTACTAGATTTGCTAGATGAGTGCAGGCGGAGGCGATCAATGTTTTTGTCCATTCGACAACTCAAAAGAAACTGCAGGGGCCATACCGGCACCTTCAATGGCGCATGTACTTTGCAAGAAAGAGGAGCGACAGCCTGCTGCCAACGCAGCGCCTAAAGCGCAAGCGATGGTCCAGGACTGGCAAAGAAAGGGGTCCCCAGGCCAGACAATGAGCATTCTGGCTCTTTTCTACCACGAAAAAAACAGGTTAATGTCGCATTCTGAGCTAACTTTTGTTTAGGGTGATGGAATGGAGATAATTCGACAAAGCAAGCAGGAACACAAATCATACCCAGGAGTTCCTGTAGTTGTTAATTAAGATTAAGGTAGGTTACCCTCAAATTACTTAAGCAAGGTAAGTTTAATTAAGGATAAGCAAGGTTGCTTAAATTAAGCAAGGTTAATGTTGTTCAGTGACTTTTTTTGGTTCAAAATATCTGTTAATGCATTGGTTGCTTTTTGCTTGCAGATTCGTAATTGTCTTCATTACTGGTTTCCCGAAGGCTTAAACAACTTTTTGTGTTCCCGAATAGAATTGAAAATGACAGAAACGGAACAAAGCAACTGCATCGGTCAGTCAGCACCTTTTGTTATGCAGTTGGCTTTGCGGCTGTGTTTCTGTCAGATGCCAATCGCATCAATCACAAATGGTTTCACAGAAACTCTGAACTGCAGTGGTGGTGTCACACGTCAAAATCCACCCAACCCGCCGGAGCGTGAAGCTCGCGCAAGTAAGGAAAGGAAAAAGAGGGTTGTAGGTGGGAAAACACCACTGTACACCATAAAATCAGCCGCAACCACCTGGCTCCCGAAGGACCTTAGGTGGCGTGAGAGTCGGTCTTACGACGTTTTGAATTTCCTGAAAAGGTGGGGACACTCATCTGGTCATCCAGAAGGGCCCAGAGAAATTTAAAATGGGAAAAAGCTTCACTCACTGGTAGTCGTCGATCAGGATGAAAACCAGTGAAGTTTGGGTGGGTGAGTTCGTCCGCCCACTTGTTGTAGTCCCGCTTCATGTGTGAAGGCGCCAATTGAACCCCAGCAACATAGAGCATGGCGATGAGCTGCATTAGGAAAGCTGAGGTAGGCATGTGCTTCGTCTTCTGGTTCAACAGGGCAAAGACATTGCCTTGATTGTCTGAAATGAGGCTGAGACGGGTACGAAGCAGAGATTTCCCACCCAAAGCCAGAAGGAAGTGGGTAAGAATCAATGTACCAAACATCTCGAGGGTCGCAATGCGTCTGGTTGGATCACCATCCTTGTGAGCCCA